TAAAGGCACTGTTTCATTTGAATACGCTTTAAAAATTTGTTCACATTATCATAAAATAGTCGACTTGTTTAATTTGTTTGATGCATTTCTAAATTATTTTAATCAGGGGTCAGCAACCTTGTTGAACTATTGTTAAATACATTTGAATTGAACCATAGGCTAGTGATTCTCAACAAGGGGCAATTTTTACCCTCTGCAGACATTTAGTATTGTCTACAGACATGTATGGTTGTTACAGCTGGGTAGATGGTACTAGAATCTAGTGGGGTGCATTGTAGGATGCTGCTAAAACTCTTCTAGTGCCCAGGATGACCCCCATAATGAAGAGTCATCCAGCCCCAAATATCAATAGTGCTAACGTTAAGAAACCCTTCCATAGGTCAGCCTCCCTTACCTTCCACCTAGCTCTGGAGTAATAAATGATAGTAGGTGGTGAGGATGCCACTCTGACTTTTTATCCCAGAGTCACTGCAGTCGGAAAGTCCGCTGACCTATATCCGGAAGTTATAATGAATTGCTAAAATGATCAGAGGCCTTTTGAAAAGTAGTGTTTATTGATACAAGAATGCCTCTAAAGCACATCTCTAAAACTTCTGTATACACATGGACCCAAATGACTTTGTGCCACAATTTGCTTTAAGTGTACTCTGTTTCACATCTAACTTGTAGTGATTTCAAACAGTATGAAGTGCCATATGCCTTGTCTGTTAAGTGAATTATATAAGTAGGTACCATTGTGGAATGATGTTTTCATTTTGTATATTATAATGGGATAGGATTTTTTGAGGCCTTTCTCTAGAGTCTGTTTTTTTAAATTTGTGTTTATAGAAAAAAAACAAAACTAATTTATGAAAATGTCAAACACTTGTGTAAATTTATAAGCTTCTATTCTGTTCCCCCTAAAGGTGACAGTAACTTTTTTTTTCTCTTTTTTTCAAAAATGTGAAATATGTATCTGAGTAGAAGCAGCTTCTTGGATCCCCTTGCCATTTACCAAAAATAAATGAGTAGAAAGAGCTTATTATTTTGCTAACTATAAAAATTATCCTGTAAAAATATCTGTATAGATTTCTTCCTTTTAGAAAGTCACCTAAGTAAGATTTATAATCTAGCATTTTACATGGGCTCTAAGTAGTCCAAAACATTACTGTACTTGACTGACCCATATTAAATTTTTTTTAAAAAAGCAAAGTGTTACAGAGTATCAGTATTAGCATACTATATTGTTCATATCAAAATGGCATATACTGGGAAGTATTAGAAAATTTTAGATGTATGCACTGAGTTATATAATTTTTTTTAATATATTTACAGCTTCCAAAGGCCTTTATTAGTCCTTGTTGACAGAAACATAGATCTGGCAACTCCTTTA